GAAGCACAGAGAACGATTGGGCCTTCAGTTGAGGTGTCAATGGGAGGCGGGCGAAGTTGTTATAGGGAAGCACCTTGTGATTTTCCAGTCGCAACGCTGCGCGGCGTAACGACGCAGCACAAATATCATCAAACGGGGACTGCGAGTGCGGGCGGCGGACTTGGACAGTATGTTCGAGCAGATGGCGATGCGCCTTACTGCTTACAACTTGCGGGCTCCGGCCAGCAGGGGGGCACATTACGCTTGCGTGGTCACTGGAACGGGAGAGGCAACGTGGCAGCACGCAACAAAACGGTGGTTCAATCAGGAAACCTGTTGGGGCATCACGTTATGCATGCTATTTCTTAGAACGCGGCTGGCACGAGCGAAAACTAATTCATGAATTTCTTGGCTAGTGTATCGCATTCGGATATTGCTTGGGATGTCCTTTTGATTCAAGATGGCCCCCTCCAAGAATCACCGAGCAAAGAGCTAGTTATGGGAGGTCATCAGTGGTGCGTGGCAGCGTTCGGGGGGAGGCCGAGGAGCATTTGTATCTTAATTAACCGGTCCATTGTGCAAGAGTTTGAAGTTTTTTGATTTCATTTAAGGAGGTCGCGTTACGTATGTGAATTTTTCTTGGGCGAAGGGGAGACGGAGAACAATGCCGGCCCATTTGTCGCGCGCGGGCCGTTCAGATTCTGAGTACAGGTCGTCGTTGGAAGCGTGCCCTGCCGCGTTGCCTGCGCGACGCAAATTAAGAAGAACAGTCCTTGGAGTGGATGCGACTGCTGTTTTGGGTTTGCGATCTGACGCCGGCAATCCAGGGAACATTGGGATGTTTGCGTCGGGGGCAGCATGTCCACGGGGGCGCCAGGTCTTGGCGCGGTTGGACGGGTGTGGTCGTGCAGCAGCTGATGCGTTCTTCCAGAAGGGATCGCAAGACAGGTGAACACAACAGATGTGGAGCAGCGGAGAGGAACAACACATTGACTATAGCTTTGCAGAATATTGATTTCGGACAGAATTGAAAACAAAAACAAAAAAAACAAAACAACACGCGCACTATATCAGCTTTCACGCAAAGCGCAGATCACCGAGCAAACTGGGCAGATTTTGGAAACCGCCCTGGAGAAGAACAAATCGACACCGAAAAAGGCAGGGGGGGATAGATTTCCCAAGTTCCTGAAACGAATACCATGAACGGCAACATTATTTATAGGGGCGCTACAGGGACGTCGCAGCGGCGACGGAGATAATATTGCACGCGGCCTCGGAATGTGGCGGGGCAGCCGCGCCGCCGACCAAGGCGCCGACCAATGCAGAACGCATCGCATCTTTACGACAGTTGCGAAATCAAGCGAACAACATGGAGGATCGCAATCGTTACGCTATCCTTCCTCCTGATTCGGGCTGCGCGTCAGAACTTCCGGGAAAAACGAAACAGCCGACTTGGCGACTTAATCGCGACGGGCTCCTTGCCAAATAATTCCCAGGTGTCCAGGGGTATCCACGGAGTCAGAGCAATCTAGCACAGCCACGCACGATCGCCAAGGGCGGCCTCGCACAGCCGCGGCGATCGCAGACGTATGTCGCGTGCTTTTGAATGGAGAGGCCAAGCCGCCCGCATAATTGAGCATATCCAAGATTGTAGTCTGATTTAAGAATGGAGGTGCGTCCCTTCCGAAACACGACCGCCTCGTAGCAACAATTCCAGTATTGTGCAAATTGCGCAGCTCTGTTTTGGTTCGCCGCTTCAGTGCCTTGCTGGAAGCGCCCCGAACACCAGAGGACATGGGCTTCAGGCGCGGGTATAAATGTGAAGATTTTGTGCATTGATCGCGCACGGTTGGGGAGAAGGGCGTCGAATGGGGTGAGACTGTTTGGGTGGCGTCAATCGACTTAAGGACCTCGACAGCATCGTGCATTCAATTGTGTTCGCGGGCCTGCGGGCAGTGGGTGTTCCAGAAAACGGTTTGCACGCGATTCAAGATCCATGCACACAGCAGCATGCGCATAGACAGCTGGGCAGTAATACCCGCAGCAGGTATTTCGGCATACTGCGAGGTGTCCGTCAAGGGGGCGTTCTGTCGCCAGCGCTCTTCGCGAATGCGTTCCAGGAGACGACGGGCACCCTCGAGCTAGAATGGAAACGGAAAGAATAACGAAACTGTCGTTGAGAGCGACGTGAACGATAAAAACAGGCTCACCCACGGAATGCTCGCGGATGACACAACGCGAATCGCGCGATCACGGCAAGCGCTGTTTAGGATGTTTGGCTGTTACAGCACAGCTGGCAAACGCCGGCTGTATTTTGAACGCTGACAACTGTATGGTGTAATGCTCTGGGAAGACAGTTCTTGCCAGCACCCGCGTGACCGTCGCTAGAAAACACGCGGCTGGTATGCAGGTGCTGTGATGATTTCGAAGTGGTCGGTGCCATGATTGCCCAGACCACGACCGAGCTCGAGGCGCGCATCCGGTCCCGATGGGCCACGTTTTCAAGTCTTGCTGTTAGCTTCCGAAAGAAATCACATCGGAACAGAAACGCCTCCGACTTTTCCACGCGACGCTCTCGAAAGTTGTGCTCTGGTGCTGCGAGTCGTGGAAGCTGACTGTAGCCCAGAAGAGGCAACTTCGAAGCACGCAGAGATCAATGTTACGACGCATGGTCGGGCCCGGCACAAGGCCTGATGAGGAGTACACATCGTGGGTACGCCGAGTTACCAAGATCGCCGAAGACAAAGCGAGGAAGGCTGGAATGCCGCGCTGGGTTGACCGCCAACTTCGGGCCGAGTTCTAAACGCTTCGCGTATCCCCACCAACCCGTCCAGAACTGAAACCCAAGAGAGTGGAGGTGATGAGGGAAGCGGGGGAGTATGCAGAAAACGAAAAAGCGGGGTAAGCCGCCATATAACCCAAGAGGGGGAGGATGTAGGAGTCGTCGTCGTCGGAGTAGGAGGAAGAAGAGGAGGAGCTGGAGGAGGAGCAGGAGGAGGAGGGGGAGGAGGAAGAGGAGGAGGAATATGAGCAGGAGGAAATGGAGGAGGGCGAGGATGTGGAGGACGAGAAGGAGGAGAAGGACAATGATGCTGATGATGATGATGATGATGAGGAGGAGGAGGAGGAGGAGGAGGAGGAGGAGGAGGAGAGGGAGGGGGAGGAGGGAGGAGGAAAAAAAGAGGAGGAGGAGGAGGAGGAGGAGGAGGAGGAGGAGGAGGAGGAGGAGGAGGAGGACAATGGCGAGCTTGGGGGCCTCTTGGGCCGTCTTTGGGGCCTCTTGGCGGTCCTGGGGGCCTCTTGCGTATCTCGGGGGGCCTCTTGGGGGTCTCTTGGGGGTCTTTTGGGGCCTCTTGGGGGTCTTTTGGGGGCCTCCTGTTGGAGCCCCCTGGGCGCTTCTTGGGGCCATTTTGGAGGAGACCTATCAAAGAAAAGGGGCTTGGGAATTACCGCTGCCCCCCCAGGAGGCCCAACAGGGGCCAACACCTTGGTAAAATCAGTGGTTTGGGCTCCCTCGCCGAGGCCATTTTGGACGCCCTAACGACCCGCGGACTCCCCCGTCCAGGTCCAGGGGAGGGAGTAGGGGGAGGGATCAAGTTACCCCCTCCCCGCCCGCAAGCCGTCTCGCTGACGCCCACTCGCCCTCCCAACACATACGTAGCACCCGAGTCTGGCCCGAGCCTCAGCATATTCAGCAGTCGCCTTGTGATGGGGGGCAACTGGGGGCCAATCCGCCGCCGCTGCCTCCGCCGCCGCCGCCGCCAAACCGCCGCCGCTGCCCGCCGCCGCCGCCGCCAAGTGTACTCTGTATTATGTTTTGACAGGGACGGGTGGGGGGGGCCGCATCGGGTCGGCTGCGCATGTTCAGAAGTTTGAGGCAGAGTGTGTTTTGTATAGTTTTTTACAAGGGATGGGGGGGGGGCATGGAGTCGGGTTGCCCCCCCAGTCGCCAGGGGGAGGGGGTGTTTACTAATAGGGAACAGTGATAAACCCCTCCCCGAAGGGGAAAAAGGAGGGGTGGAAGAGGAAACGCTCTAAACCACCGACGCCCAGAGGGCTGGTGGGATTGGAATGGGTTGGATGTATTGCCGGAGTGGATGCATCCAGTTGGACCAAGCGCACCACGTATTGGGGAAACGCTGCCTGGTGGAAAACAGCTTTAAAAGTCACGCGAACGACCGTTTCGATGCAGACCTGGTCGTGTTGCCCTATGGGAGGATGAATTTTGCATGTTCGCAGAGTTGAAGCAGTGGCGTTCGTGGGAAGATCTCGCGCATGACAACAACGTTGGGGCACACATGAATCAGAGTGTGTCGATTATTTTCACGTTGAATGATTGTTTTTGTGGATGCTACATGTCTGTGCGAGGGCATGGGGGCGCAATGCAAATATTCATTTGTCACATCATCCATCGTTCTGTGCAGCATCTTCTGTGCTCTGTTTCACCGGCTTGTTTGCCGAGGGCTTGCGGACCAACGCGTCCGCTTGCCCGCTTTGCAGGTACGCCCACTTTGGCCGTTTCCGCTTCCGCTTCCGCTCGTTCTCCCTCCTTCCTCTGCTCCCTGTATCGCACCGCGATTGGACCCATTCCATTCCATTCCTCCCTCTGCTCCCTCGCAAACCATCCATCATCCTACTCGTCTCCCTCTTCGTCTCCTGCCCGTTCCCTCCTCCTCCCATTTCGTCGGCGTCGTCCTCTTCCTCCTCTCCCTCCTCTCCCCTCCTGTCCCACCTCCTCCCTCCTCCCTTTCCTCCTTCCTCGGCACCGCCTGGCGCAAGCAGGGGTTTGCCTGCGCACCGTTGTGCGGGTGCGTGGCGCCACTCTTTTCTCCGCCTTCCTCTCTGTCACTCCTCATCCTACTCCTTCTCCTCCTCTTTCCCCTCCTCCTTCTCCTCGTCCTCCTCCTCCTCCTCCTCCTCCTCCTCCTCCTCCTCCTCCTCCTCCTCCTCCTCCCTGTCCCTCCTTCCCCCCTCCGCCTCCTGAATGCCCCTCCATGCTGGGCACCTCGGGGCCATTGCAGGTTCAGATCCTGTCCGTTCGCATCGGCGGCGTGGCGCTGGAACGCGCTGGGCGGGCAATCATTGGGAGGAGGAGGTGGAGGAGGAGGGGGAGGAGGAGGAGGAGGAGGAGGAGGACAAGGAAGGAAGAGGAGGAGTGCGACGACCCAAACTTCCATTTCCGAGAGCAGAGATAGAGACGGCGAGCGTGTCTCTTAGACTTTAGGTTTCGGGGGCACCATTTGGGGTGGAGGCTCCAGGGCTCGTGCCTTGAAAGACTAAATGACGATGATGAGGACGAAGACGAACACTTCGACGAGGATGCAGATGATGGAGATGATGGAGATGATGGGGAGTAGGAGGCAGATGGTAACTCCTCTTGACCCGTCCCCCCGGAAGTGGTCGGAGGAGGGAGGTGGGAGAAGGCAAGACGGAACGAGCCAGAGGGAGCGGGAGGAGATAAGTAGCACTACGTTGGCAGTGGAGACTGGTGCACGCAGGAGGGACTGGGAGGGAGCAGGTGGGAGGCAGGGGGGTTGGGAGGGGAGGAGGGCGGCGTCGATGGCGAGGGGAATCGTGTGGAGGTGGAGTAAAGGGGCGGGTGTGCAGGCTGGATGGCCAGGTAGAACGCCAGGGTCGACCGCGCGGACACTCGCGCGCAAGCTGCCCGCGCGAGGTCGCGCGTGGAGGCTCTCGGTAACCACGTGGCCTTCCTCGCCGCCTGCCTGCGTGAGCGGTGACTCCAAATGTCGCCCCATCCCGAGGCTTAAGGCTTATGATGCTCCAACCCACTTTAGCCTTGACCTCCAGAAATAAATTCGAGCACCAGGAAAGTACCAAACAACTAGAGGGTGTTTACGTGTCGAGCCCTGGGAGACACTGCTTCGACACTTTTCCGGGTGCTCAAAGTTATTTCTGTGATGGTGGTCCTTCAGAACAATGGGAGAAACACGACCCGAGGCGCAAGACCCTGGATGCTTTTCCTGGGAGGTTCAATTCAGCATCGGCGCCAGCAGATCCATGGTCGGAAAGCCAGCCTGAACCGGCAGAGTCCCATCCGATCAGGTCTCATCCCACCTAATTGGTCCAGCTGAATCGTGGGTTGGGCTTTCAGCCGCCTGGTCGTTCTTACGAAGATTCTTCCCAGGAGGTGTCTCCGAACCTTGGCCGCCGTCGCGCAGTGCCTTCTCCCCCACCCGTGCCTGGGCCGCGAAGGACGTCTGCCAGGACGGCTCGTGCAGGGGCGTGATCGACACAGGCATCGTGCCCGCCCACCGGCCCCGCGGGCGCCACAGCGCCCTCGCCTTAGGTCGGGCCTGTCCCTCTACAGGAGGAATATCCAAGAACGATAAACAATTTGTCTGGGGACGATTTTTCAACTATTCTTGACCACTTTCGATATTTTGTTTTGACAATTTTTTATTGTTCCTCCAAATCTGCCTGTAGGGGGACATGCCCGACCTAACCCGCGCCGCCCGTCGGCGCCGATGCGCGGGGGTGTGGGGGGCCCACACGGTGTGGTGGGTCCGTGAGGATCCGTGGTTTATCGCACGGCTTCGGGACTCGGGTCGTTCTCCGATGATGTGTGTGAATCCCCCTACTTTCCTCCTATCTTGCTCATATCCATCGCCCCTTTCGGCTCGGATGCAGGTACTCGTACTCAGAGGGTGAAGAGGACAACTACCATCATCCTCATCACGTCTACCTACGGACACTTTGGGGGTGGGTTCGGTCCTTCGGTCCCCCTCCCCCTCACACAGGTTATCAGCCTTCTCTGTTCAAAACGCAATCGCTCCAACTTCCGCGCTTCCTGAGCCCCCCACTCAGTCGCGATGGAGGGCGGTGCGCCTCTCGGCCCCGCGCCTCTTCGCGACGGCGTGGCGGACCCCGTGGCGCGCAACTTGGAGCAGGAGATTGAAGTTTTGATGGACGTGCATGGCATCCCGCGAGCTGATCGTGTGGCCATTTCTCCAGGTACTGAGGGTCTTGACGCTGGACAAGGACACGCTCCTGGTACTCCTCAGTTCCAGGCCCCTTCCTCGTCGTCAGTCGTTCCTCCCGTCGCGTCGCCCGTCGTGTCGGATGCAGCGGGAGACCGCAGCTCGGATGCAGCGGGAGACCGCAGCGGGAGACCGCATCTCTTTCAGAGCGCTGAGGTCCTCGTGCCACGGAATGATCCGCCCAGAAATGCTGTCAGAGCGAGACACCCTGTGGCTCCTGGAGTTCCTCAGCTCCAGACTCCTCAACCTCCTCAAAATCTGACCCCGACTTTTCGGGCCCCTGCTGAGGGGGCCCACTCGGAGGCTCTCTCGCCTCCACAGGGAAGCCCCGTGCAGAGAGGCTCTGGAGGATCTCGCCGCTGGGGCGGGAGTCACGCGAACGCCGGCGCGCCAGGACGGAACCCAGTCACCCGTGCCGTGACGCCAGTCCGAGAGCACATCCGCGCCCTCGAGTTTCGTGCTCAGACCCGCGACGGCGCAGCCTTCGCCGGTCGTCAAGTCACTGTTTCTCGTTCTCGCGCAGCTTCGCCTCGTGACAGACGTGGCCCCGAACAGTTCCAGATTGCAGCCCAGGATTTGCACAGCCGCAGTCCCTCCCAGAGGGCACGAAGACGCGCTGTCAGCTCACCTGTGGCTGCGCCTGCCGCCGTCCCCCTAACAGATATGGCTGAGCTAAGAGACCAGGTACAGACGTATGTGGAGCATCAGACTGCTCTCGTGCACCAGGCAACCGCCACTGAGACTGCGATCTTGCGATCGGATCTCGCTAAAGGTTTGCAGGAAGTCGACGCTAGGTTGTACGAGGATCGTCACGTCATGTGTCAACTCGTTTCGAAGGTCGATGCTGTTGCCGCTCAGCGTGGCCAAGACCGCTCCGAGCTTGCCGCTGTGCACTCCGAGTTCTCTCATTTGGAAGCACGTTTTATCCATATGCGTGACCACAATGATACTCGCGCCAAGTTTCTCCACGATGAACTCCAAGCAGTTGCTGCCGCCAGCGCCGGCGCGGCTCCCTCAGCTCTCCAGGGCCAGATTATTGAGCTTCGTGACGCCACGATGTCTGCTACATCTGATCTTCGTGCTGAGACCCAACAAATCCAACCAGATCTCTACGGCAAACTCTGTCAAGCCGAAAATGCTGTCAACCAGCGTCTCTCTGATTCCCAAGTTGATTCGATCCCAAAGCTCACCGCCAGAGTCCTGACTCTCGAAGAGGCCGTGACTGAGCTGCGCGTTGTAAGGGCCCAGACTGGCCAGCTGGTGCCCCCTTCTTCGGTTGACGACCCCGCCGTACTGGCAGCCGTACAACGGACCGTGCGTGCGGAGGCGGACCACGTGCAAAGGCAGTTACACGAGCTTCGCTCTGAGAGGGATGCTGGAAAGGCACGGGTATCTGAAGTGCAGACCCGCCTGGCGGATACGCAGCAGGAGCTGTCGCGCGTAAAGGCCGACATGGATCAGCTACGTTCTCTTCTTACAGACCTTTCCCAGTCTACTCAACGACAGTATTCCGTGCTTACAGACAAGACCCGCGAGGTCCAGAGGAATGTTGATGGTTTCTCAGGCTGCATCGAACAGTTGCAACGTGACAACATCATTCTCGAAGACCAATTCAAGGCCCACGTAGCTGATGCTACACAGCACACACCTGTACCACCACAAGCCCCGACCTCCAGACGCACTTCTCCCGGCGCCCCTGCCTCGAACGCGGGGGGTGTGCAGGGGGGAACCCCAGCCGCTGGCTACCAGCCACAGGCCCGACGTGTGTCACCGTCAGCTGCCAGCAGGACCGCGGCCCCGGCCGCTTCCGCAGCACCTGCACAGGAGGCAAACTTCGACGCTGCAGGTTTTCGCACGCACTCACCAGTGCCCAACGTCCTTGGTGCTACTGTCATGCAGTCTCAATACACCATCGGAGGGAGCCCTGTTGCTACCATCACACCGGTGAAGGAGAGCGAGCGTGTGCGTGTTCCAGGTCTTCCCAGAATCGGACATGTTCTTGAGTGGCAGCACGCAGTCCGCAAGGCCTTCTGCAGTGCCTCTGGGCGTCCAGATGCTGCATACAAGTTCTTCTGTGTTGCAGAACAGCCCGGTGTGACACTGGATGATCTACAGGACAGCGGTGATTTCGCAAGTTTGGATCTGAAGTTCGCGGAAGCTTTACAAGCGATTCTCAGCAGCGAATTGAAACTGGATATCAAATTGCTGGAGAACACAGAGCACAAGCACGGTCGCATGATAAAGGGACGTCAGATATACTGGAAGATTTTGCGTTATTACGATGTGACCGACGCCGACGATACGATTCATGATTCCGAAAGGATCAACACTCTACGTATGCATGGAGATGACCTCAAAAGGTTCGTGACGGAGTGGGACCAACTGCTCCTGGAGCTCCGGGAGCTTCCTCCGCCGAACATTATGGAGTCACTGTTTCGTACACAGATTGAGTTGCATCCTTGGATGAAGGACGACATGAACACGTACAACAAAGCTCCTAAAGGGGCACCAGAGCGCTGTTACACTTGGCTCCACCACCGAGTCACAGCTGTTCTTGAGCTACACCGAACGCGGCGCAACCAGTACCACCTGAGGACAGGCAACAGGGACACCGCAGCCATCGTCTCTCCGAAGACTGGCTTCTGCGTGCCCTTCAGCAAGGGCAAATGCCCCAAGGGAAACGCGTGCAAGCTCCTGCACATGGTGGACTCCCGCAGCCGCCCTGACACTGGCGCCCCTCACAGCGAGAACTCTCGCCAACCCCAGCGTTCTGCCCAGCCACCCGGCTCGCAGCAGCCTCACGGCGGCGCCGCGCGTTTTTGCCACAGATTCGCCAAAACTGGTGCCTGTTCGTACGGCGACCGCTGCCGCTACCCCCACGTGCCCGCCTGCAGCTACTTCCAGGCAGGCCACTGCGCCAAGGGCGACGCGTGCACCTACGCACACCTGGCAGCCAACGCTGCGACTCCGCCACAGAGCACCAGCCGCCCGCGGAGTCAGGACAGCCGTGGCCGCCCCCCCTCGCGTGGACCGAAATCTGGTCGAAACCACCGTTCGTCCAGGAGTCCGGGGGGATCTCAGCAGCCTCCTCGTGACGCCTCCCAATCTCAGACCTGGGATAACTGGCGATCTCGGCCCGCTCCCAACCAAGACGGGTATGAGAGTCAGGAAGGCACGCTCCACGACGACTCCCAGCGCGGACGTCGACCTTCTCGCGACTCAGACCGTACCAGCCAGCGGAGCAGCACGAGCACGAGGGCCCGGTCACCTGCCGCTCCCTGGAACCGAGTGTACGTCATACGCTCCAAACACGGCGCCCTGACCGGCACCCGCGCCGGCTCCCAGGCCGGCCCCGAGCGTAACCCCCAGCCCGGCTCGCCGCCCGGCGCCCTGACCGGCGCCTTTGCCGGCTCCCAGGCCGGCTCCCAGCCCGGTTCCCCACCTGGCGCACTGCTGCCTGGCGGCGCCCCCCCCGGCTCCGAGCACGGCTCCCAGACCAGCTCCGAGCCCGGCGCCCTGACCGGCACCCGCGCCGGCTGCCAGGCCGGCTCCGAGCACGGCCCCCAGACCAGCTCCGAGCCCGGCGCCCTGACCGGCGCCTTTGCCGGCTCCCAGTCCCGCTCCGAGTCCGGTCCCCAACCCGGCTGTTCTGAGCGCAGCACCTTTCTCGGCTCCGAGCCCGGCTCCCAATCCGGCGCCGAGCCTGGCGCCCTGCCTGGTGCCTCGCCAGGCCCCCAGTTTGGACACAGCACGCGAGTGTCCAACAGTCCGGGGGGCACGCGCTGTTACGACTCCTGTCGACTACGGCGCTCCCCCTCCCGCGACCGACGCCGCAGCAGCCAAAGCAATGATCACGACCCGAGCCCTTGTGATCGGCCTCCCGGCTGTCTTCGACCTCAAGTTGACGTCTGTCGTCCACGATCCTTCGCTCTCGCTGCAGTCCCTGGCAGAAAGACTCAGACGCCGAAAGGCTTGCAATGGAACTTTGCAGCCACAGAGATTCACTACTTCCCTGTTCAGACCAAAATGCGTCGACACCGTACTTCCCCTAACCAGGGATATGTGGTCCACGTTCCTGATGTTCTTCCGGACCACTGGCTGCAGACCTCCGCGGATGCGCTCCAGGAGGCAATCGAGAACGCCATCCGTTTGACCGAGCGCCTGGACGACGACCTCGACACCTGCATGCCGCTTGTCCCAGCCGGGGCAGTGCAGCAGGGAATTGCAGCAGGGCTAGTGCAGCAGGGAACTGCAGCAA